TGTAGTTGAGGGGTTTTAGTCCCTCCCTAACTTCAGGGAAAAATCCCTACCTGGGGAAACAACCTTTCTTGAAGAGGTGACCTTGGTTAAAACACATAGCACCAAGGTGAGCAAACATATTAAGAACAGTATGCCATATACGCCAGGTCCCTTGAAACATATGCTGTGCAGATGTTTCTTCCCTGCAGCGACTGTGTCAAGCAGCAAGGATGGACCGGCTTCTGGCAATTGTATATTTTGATCTTTTTGTTATTACAGTATATGTGTGGTAGGAAGAATTTTAAGATGGTCCACAAGGCCCTAGCTGGTTTGGCTCAGTAAATAGAGCGTCAGTCTACGGACTGAAGGGTCCGGGTTCGATTCCAGTGGTTGGTACATACTGTGGGCTCAGTCCCAGTAGGGGGCATGCAGGAGGCAGCTGATCAATGATTCTCTCTCATCATTGATGTTTCTATCTCTCTCTCCCTCTCCCTTCCTCCCTGAAATCAATTAAAAAAAAAAGAAGAGTCCACAAGATTTCCCACCCCCTGTATACATACCCTACCCTGCATAATCCCTAGAACTTTGAATCTGATAGAGTTTACTTCGGTAATTAGGTTATATAATATGGCATTCTTGACTGTAGGCAAGGGAATTATCTGGTGGGCCTGACCTAATTACATGAACTTTTTAAGAGCAGGAAGTATTCTTTGGCTGGTTGCAGAAGAGGACATCAGAAAGATTTGAAGCGTGAGAAGTGCTTGAAGAACTGTTGCTGGCTTAAGGATGAAGGGGCCATAAAGCAAGCCTCTAAGACTTGAGAGTGGCCCCTGGCTAATGGCCAGGAAGGAACCTGGGACCTCAGTCCCACAACCACAAAGAATTGAATCCTGTCAACAACAGGAATGATTTTAGACCAAGGTTGTAGCACTTAAAGTAGTGAGAAGCAGTTGGATTCTGGATATTTTTGAGGCTATAGCCAACAAAATTTGCTGAAAAGACATGGGATGTGGGGATGGGAGGGGGAGAGAGGGAGAGAAGTCAAAGGTGACTCTAAGGTTTTCATCTGAGCAACTGGAAAAATTGCCTTGCCATTTACTGAGATGGGGAAGACAGTGAAAGAAGCAGCAGATTTCTTTGGGGCAGAGGGAGAAAGAATGGGGGGCAGTTAGGAGTCCGGTTTTGGACATTTTAAGTTTTTAAGTTTGAGATACTCATCATTCATCCAAGCGGAGACATTAAATAGCACTATTTTTGTTTTAATCATTCAGCCCCAGCCCCACCCCCTATTTTGAGTTTATTGTGATCAAGAATTTCTTCTTGCTAGGAGTTGGGGGTGGGTGGAGTAGGTGGATACGGCGGAGGTGGGAGGAGTGGGGTTTGGGAGGGTCTCAGACAGGTGGTTGGTGCCTGCTCTGGTTTAGCCGCCCAGTGAATAAACAGGCGCAAGGATTACACCAGCCACGCCGGCCCTCCAGCGGTGCAGCCAGCGCAGC